CATCTTCTAGTCCTCACAAAACACTGCTGACTGAAAATCAGGAATGACTTCCAGGGGCATTGAGTTGACCTCCTCTCACCCCTCTGCATGGATCAGCTCTGTGACATCCTCAACAAGTGGGTTGTCAGTCATCCAGCTGCTGCTGGAGCAGTCCCTTGACAGGTGCTCACCACCTCTGAACGTGACAGAGTGCACCGGTGGAGACTTGTTCTGGTGGTTAGAAACTTCCTGACTGCGATGATCAGAAACCCATGTGTCTGGAAAGTCCACTCGCCGAGCTTATTCTCCCCTTTGAGCTTGCACAGTATGTGTGCAGTCTCCTTCCTCCACATCCTCACTTCCTGTTCTGTGAGGCTCTCTTGCCCCTATGCCTCTTACATAGCTGGACTTACAGGCACGAGCTACCATGCCTGACTTATTGTTGGAATGGGATCTGCCTGGGCTTTTTACCTGGACTGACCTCCAACCATGATCCTCCCAATCTCTGCCTCCCAAGTATCTGGGATCACAGTAGTGAGCCACTGTACCTGGCCTGCTTTTGCCATCTTTCTGAATCCCAGTGTCCTCTTTCCCATGAGCTGCACTTACTTGGTTTTAGTTAATGACTGAAACAACAAACACCTGATGCTATTCTAAGACGTGGTCAGATTTGCTTCAAAAAGCAGAGTTCTGAAGAATTGAAAAACAGAAGCGAGCTGAGGATGAGGAAATGTGAAAAATGAAGTCATTTGCCCTGTGGTTTCTGGAGACCATTGCTCAGATAAGGCTTTCCAGTGGATTCAGTGGGCCAGAGGGATCCTGTGATTTATGCCAGGCAGCTCTTTCTCTTCGGCAGTTGCCATAGCCCAGTCACTGGTACATGGTAAAAAGAAAAAAAATTTTTCAATGAAGTCATAACAATCACAAAGTGAGAAGGAAAGTGATAGCCACCTAAACCCCCCCCCATGCATCTAGCCCAGGACCACAGAGAGGAGGGGAGGTCTCCTGCTCCCATGGGGCCAGGGTTACTGGGAAGTCACCTCCTCACACCTGGCTGCCCCGCCCTTAGTTCCATGGCTGTCAGGCAAGTCGGCAGGCCCTCCTTCTCTCTCCCACACCCGTGACTGCACCCAGTCCCAACATTGTTACTGGTGACCCTGAGAGCTCAGCAGGATCCGGGAGCCCAGTGGTAACTCAGGGCTTCTGATTTGGCAGAGCTGAAGAACAAGAGGAACCCGGGGTGCATGGAGACCCCTCCCTTGCCTCGAGCAGAGGGAATTGCACACACTGACCACAGCAGTGAGAACTTTCCTAGGGGCAGCCACTCTTGGTGAGGGGTTTCTTGAGATAGGTGTTGGTGATGTAGCCCAGGTTGGCCTCAAACCCTCAATCCTGCCTCAGCCTCCTAAGCACTGATGGCAAGTGTGCACTGCACCTAGCTTTGCAGCCACTCTTAGAGAATTAGATGGATCATCCAGCACCATGAAGTTCTCGGAAAATGCCCGTTTCCATATAAACTGGAAGTCATTTCAGCACCTAAAAACTCTTGGATATAAAAAAGGATGCAAGCTCCACAGGAGAGAACGGTCTATTTTGGTGTTTCCCAGGTCTAGTGCAGTGCTTGTAGTATGGTTGTTGGAAGAATGGCTACATGAGTAGGACCCCACATGATCCTAGGTGCAGTCTTTATTTAAGCCCCTCAAATACGCAAGAACATGCCGGGCACGTTCCCAGATGCTGGAGATAAAAGTGGAAGCATGACCAAAGTGTCCCAGGAGTTGCTGCTCTCTAGCTGGTGAGCCAGCACACAGCCACTGAAGTGGAGAGGCCTGGCCAACGTCTGCAAGTACAAAGAAACCAGGAAAAGGGCTTCTGCCCTGGAGCGTGGGGGAGGACTTCAGGGAGGAAGACGCACCCAAGCTGGTACTGAAAAATGTTAAAAAGTTTACTTTCAAGTAAGTGTACAGAACAAATGTAGCCGCTAAGACTAGAGAGACTCCAAGTATGGGACCTGCCCAGGCACTGACGCATGGAGTACTTGTGGCTCCAGAGAGAGAGGAGCCCTGAGATCCTCTGTAAACCAGAGTAGAGTTCAGGCTTGGTTCTGCCTTTGGGGATCCAAGCAAGACGATGGCTTGCCAGGAATCAAGAACTCGATCTGTCCCTTGACTGTACTGGGTGATCTGTTGCACATGGGCTTTCCATAGTTTGATCAGAGAGCCTGTATGTGTAAAGCAGCACACTGATCTAGACTGTTCTCTTGCAGCCAGAAGGTTCCTGAAATGCCTGCAGATGCTGTGGGCGCCCTTCTGTTCCTGGAGGATTATGTCCGGTACACGAAGCTCCCACGGAGGGTAAGCCACAGATGGTAAAGAACAATATTAATGACCGACTTGTAGACCAATGATAGTAATGGAAGCCCTGGTTTACCAGGAATGAAGCCCCGAGGTCATTCACAGCGGGTTCCTCGCAGTCCCTTGTCACTGCTGTGCCCCACAGCTCTCACTTGTCACTTGTCCCAGCCTCCCCTGCCAGGTGTGGGGCTTGGCAAGAACAGAGGTGAACTTCTCCTTCTCTTCCTCTGCACATCTCTGAGCAGCAGCCCACCAAGTTCAGGGGCAGTGCGGTGAGATGGACAAACCAAGAGGGAAAATCATCTTGGGAGGTTTATTCCTTCCACAGCCACCTGGCCGCCCACAGATTGTTGCGTCATGGCGAAAGTTCTTTTGGGTTTGTGTGTGTGAACTGGAAGAATTCAAATTTAGTTTTCAAGGATATTAAGATTAGAGATTGTCTTTTTTATACTCTAAGGAATTTGCTGAATTTCCTATAAGTAGCAAGTGAAAACTTTATAATCAGGAAAAAGTTAGACACTTTTCTCCAGTGCTCGGCAGTCAGCTAGCTTCCTGTTCCCCTCCCTCCCCATTGCGGCCTGCTCAGGGCTCCCCTTCCAAACAGCCAGCCAGGGGACGCATGCCTTTGAGGACCTTTTTTCTAGTCCCCTCCGGCCTTAGTTTCTCCTTAGTGTCCCCCCAGTCTAGTCACTGCCATGCATCCTGTTCTTCCTCCATTGGTCATCAGTTAGTAAAGTACACCAGGTGACCTGAGGTTATCTTCACTAGTGTTCCTAGCAGATCAAAGTGCCCAGAAGCCAAGGAACTCCTGTGGGAGCCGCACAGCCTCCCCTCAAATGTTAGTGATGCCCAGAAATGAGACATCAGGACAGAGGCCACCAGAGACCTGAACAGCTGTGTGAAGGAGTCCACCTGTGAAGCCAGGTCCTCCCGTGACTCACCTACTCCAAAGACAGTCTTCATTTCTTGAATTTTCATATGGAAAATTTTTAACTTGTTCAACTTTAACATATTTAACATAAGTTAAATGTTAACTTAACTCTTAACATATTTAACATAAGTTAAATATTAACTCTTTAATATTTCAGGTTGCTGAAGCACATGTGCCTAATTTCATTTTTGATGAGTTCAGAACAGTCCTGTAACTTTTCTCCTACTTCTTCAATGAAAGGATTGTCCCTAGATCATTCCACCACTAAAATGAACTTGAAGATGAAACTTGACTACTCACGTAACTGCATTTTTCCCTCCGTTGTGGGAAACATCAGACATTCTAAGAAAGATGTCTCTCACGGCACTAGTTAACGTAATTAATATTGTTTAAATCATGGTATTATATGCAATTTATATCATGTAGAAGCAGAACCCGTTTTTGTACTGCCTCTTATAAATGCTGAATGTAATTGTTCTGTATAAATCCATTTAGTTTTATGTCCTAAAGAACTATTTGTGCAACTCCAGATTTTCAGTAAAAATAGTATTGCCAGTATCTAAAGTTGTCCTTTGCTTATAATTCAAAAGCTGTGTATTGACCCCTGTAGAAAACCCTGCTTGCAAGATCAGATATGGCTTTGTCAGGGACAGTGGCCCAGCCACAATAGGCTAGAAGGCATGTAGTGAACCCACAATCCACGTCCACGTGGCATGAAAGTGTTTTGGTGTCTGAGAGTCACCATCCTCATCCAGAGCCAGGTCCCTTGGGGGTTCCCAGTCATCTTTCTGTGGGGCTCCCTAACGTCAGCTGCTCCTTCCAGTCTCTGCCCCCTTCCTTTACAGCCCCGAGCCCTGCCAAGTCCCACGACCATAAGCTTTTCCTTTCTCTTTATTTTTGGCAGGGGAGGGGGTAAAGAGGGAAATAGTTCGCCATAAGCTTTTAACGCCCTCAAAATCCTAGCAGTTCTTTCAGCATGAGTTATTCAGACAGGGGAGCTGCTAGCCTCTTGCAGCAGCCTGGACACGCCTGGATGAGAACGAGAAAGATGTTGCAAGCTAAACCCAGAATCTGCAAAATATTTGTCAGTCATCCATCCAGCAAGGTGCAGGGAAAGCAGCACTGACTTTGTCCTGCTTCTGCCACTGGCTAACTGTCCCACACCAGCATAGCGCCATCTGGACAAGGAGGACTGAAGATTGGTCAGGTTCCTTCAGTTTTCTGGTTTTGATTTCCTTGGCTAGATGCTTGAGATCCTGAGACTGAAATGAATAGGCCTGCACAGGCTCTGAGCCTTTGTGTCACAGTAGGAAGGGCTGGAACAGGAGCCGGTGGACAGGCCTCACAGCCCAGCACCAAGGCCCAGGGCTGGATTCTGGGGACTTGCTGTTCAGCACACAAGGAGCTGCAATTTAGGTTTGTTTTCCTTGGAGATTTACTGAAGTTTCATGATTTCCACAACAGAGGCCTCCATAATCTCTTCAGAAATGCTAACTGATTGTAAGGCTAACTGTAAGGCATGATGTCAGGTCTTACAGGCACACATGTGTTCTTTCACTGTTTCCTGAGGTAACGCTAGCTTGGCTTCGCAATGTCAGTTGGTGGAAATTATAGAGCACTTGACTGCTGTTCCTGTAGGAATGTGGTATTTTCAGAGAACTCACTCACTAGATGAGGAAAATAAGGCCATCCTCCATAAAGACCGTTATTTGCCAGGCTTCCCTCTGCACTCCCCGTTGCATTTTGGTTTTCTTTTCCATTATCATTAAGCTGTGCAAAGAAGTCCACAACAAGAAACAAAAAGGCCCAGGGTTTACACTTCATTTTATTCGCATGTCCCAATGACTCACCCCAAATACTGAAATCCAAAGAAAAACTGCGGCTCCTCAGTATTAGCACTAATTTATGACAACAATCATTTCTTTTAAATACCTAGCTTATTTTCCCATCATTTTAACCTGTAAATTAAGGCCTATATTTACATGCTTATACACAAAAACTTCAAAAACAAAGCGATCCCAATCTTGCTCCGAGAGTTCTCACTTCAGAAGCGGCTGTGCTCTGCTCCTATGCCCTCTTGCAAAAGTCTCGTGGGACTTGGTGCGTTCCAGTGGCTCTATTCCAAGCGTGACGACATGCACTTCACTTCCGAGTAAATTAGAGGGAAGATTACAGAACACGCTTTGTACAGCACAGCACAGCTACTGAAGAGGGCGCGAGGTTTTGTGATCCAAGGTTCTGATTTAAAGCAGAAATATGTGGCATACACCGCCACGGCGAAGAAGTGTCGAATTAAAACCAGCGGGTTGGGAGACAATCTGTAATAGGAAAAAAACACTAGTAAGAGCCCGACATTAGAAGCTACTTATAACATATTCCAAATGTGCATCTGTAAGCTTAGCATACCCTACGAGCTTGTCTGCCTGTTACACTTGGCAAGGAGCAGCTTTTTTTTGTTTTGTTTTTTAATTTTATGAGAAACTCTTAGAATAATCCCTATTAGAGGAGCCCTAGTCTCTCTCCCTCTCTCTCAGAAGTCACATATCTGAGCTTTCTCTTTCACTAATCTAGACATCCCATGCTGAAGTACTGGATACCCAGGCCTGTTGGATTCTAGGCTTTTCAAAACCAGTGTCAGTTTTGACAGCCAGACTGTGGATGAATGACAAATGACTCACAGAATTTCACTTTGTAGACTTTCCAAACCATTCCACATGTCTGCACTGTCAAAACTAAAACTGAGTTTCATGAGTCCCTACACTTCAATCAAATTAATTTTTAAATTCAGATTTCTCACTTATTCACCCACAGGTGGAAAATGAGCTCTACCTCTAATCAAGGGTCTTTGCCTTCCCCCACTACCACTTGCAGGAGCGCTGTTTCCTGAGGTCAAACAGTGCTAACTGCTGCCCTTTTGCATTTCTTGGGCCATCTTCTGACTGGGATATTAATGGCGAAAATGAAAAAAAATGGGGAACATGCATAAGGGAGAAAAGATTTGCATAAAATGAGTATGTGTTTGCTCAATGCTATCAGAACAACTTACACAGAAAGCAGCCTAACAGGACCAGCAACACATTCTCCTCCAAGTTTGAAATAAAGAAAACAGGCTTTTCTTAGTTGATGCAAGGAATCTAATGGAAAATTCAGAAATTATTCTCAATCAGAATATTCACACATTTATATTAGGGAGATAATGATAAATCAGAAAAAAAACAAGGTATAACAAATGCCAAGTCTCAGAGGTAATTTTTAAATATCTAGTCCCAGAATTTCAACACCAGGATTTATTTTAAATTCCATAGTCAGGATGGGTGGTAATTAAATATGAATAAATTTGTTTTGTTGGTAAGTAATTACTAAATAATTTCTAGATCTCGAAAGCCAGGCATTTAAGTCATCTCTTTGATTTTACTGCAAATTCACTAGATGGCACAAGAGACTTTCTAAACTCTTTTTATCGTTAAAATACAATTCTAGAAACCAAATTCACCCACTTGGAAATGCCCAACCCACATCTCTAAGCAGTAAATAATCAAGTAAAGAGAACAGCCGTGGGGAGTAATTAATAGTAATGTCTTCAATCTACAGAATCTTCTTAATACTGTCAGTGGAGTTCACTGAGCCACTATACAGCATAATAATAACCTTTTTTAAGAGTTTAGAATCAGTGTTCTTTGGAGGTGCACCTAGATTTTCCTTCACAATAGATTTTTTAAAAAATTGATGCAACAGGTAATTTTTTGTTCCAATAAAGTTTTCTCCTTTAATCATCTTTCATCTTTCACTTTTTTTTTAACATTTTGTTGGTAGATTCATACTTATAATGGTAAGAATTAAAGCACTTATGAAAGCTTAGAAAGAACCTAGCAAACTTCAGATCTTAATTCTCATTTGCCCAACCAGCCATTTTAACGTCCACGCCAATTTTGCAAGAGAGACTGGCTTTCAAATCCCAGTCAGTGAGCTATTTCTTTTAACAAGACATGCTAGTTACAGAGGCAACAGAAAGCATTTATATTCATCTTTTGTACTCATCACTGAAGAGAGCTTGCAGCATTTCAGATTTCACACTGCACCAATTAGGACCTCTCCTGCTCGACCTGAATCTAGATTGCCCAAAAGCACAGGAGTATTTCAAATGAGCAAGGTTAACGCATGCTGCTACTTGTGCATCTTGACAGAGGAAACACTCTGAACTTGGGCTTGAAGCTCATATTTATTTCACAAGATACTACCTTACAAAGAAACTGAAAGTAGCTTCTAGTATAGTGACCTTTCAAACCAGGTCAGAAGGACCTGTGATCACAATTATTATTTGGGGATATGCGTGATCTAGTCTGGACCAAACAATTCAAAAACACTGAGACCTTCTGAGGTCCTGCCATCAATAATGTGGAAGAAATGGCAAGTCTTCCAGAAGAACCAGTGGATACATGATGATTACAAACTCAGTCTTTCTCAAGGATGGAGTTTAAAGGCTGCCAGCTGGGAATGAGCAAACTTGGGTAACATACTGACTTCTGGACTAAGTACTACCTCTGGGAAGTTCTTCCCAATGCTACAGAACTGCAGTTCAGTAATGTTCATTCAAAGATATCTGCACTTACCATCTGTGGCAGAAAACAACTGATAAAGAGCCTGAGCAAGGACATTCACAACGAAGGAATGAGAACTTTTTCTCGACCAATAGAATGATTTTTTGGCCTAAAAATGAAAAAGAGCACATATTATGTAGTAAGGGGAAAAAACACAAAGTAATGTTTATAATCCCTTCAAACTGGTATTTATCCTGAGGGCTACCTGCAAGTAATAGATGGCCTTGTGCTTGTCATTTACAAAAAATAACTTCAGAATCATGGAATAGATAACTGAGGGTAAATTTACAACCACTGTGAGCAAAGGGGCCATGGTACCTCAGCGTCACGATCTTAAAACACAGAACTGTAGAGATTCCGTAAGATTCACAGTTTGCAGTTCAAGTTCTTTAAGCCTGCACAAGACTGCCTTAGAACCATCACGAAGCCCGCACTTCTGGGTATGCTTTCCCATTGCAGCCCCACTGCTCTGGTTCTAGGAAGAAACCTACTTGGGACCTTTTCACAAAGAGTAATTTATGGTCTTACCTGGGAAACAGCAGCGTCATCATAAAGGTCAGGAATACCCTGCAGCAGTTTTCTCCACAGTTCTATATCTTTTAAAGCCACAGTCATTCCTCCACCAGTAAGAGGATGCCGCAAATTATAGGCATCCCCCAAGAGAAGAACACCTGGGAAGAGAGAGAATTGAGATTATGGCATCCCAGAGCAATTACTTGAAAAATCAAAAAAGAAAAATAATCTTTCCTGTTAACTTATCACATGATTGCTATGAGCTTATAAATAATACAAAGAATGTCAAAATACACTCATGACTAAAAGGGGTAAGTTCAAGAGGAGATTCAGTCAGTCTTGATCGGGGCAGCTGACGTGGCGAGCACGGAGGACACAGTGAGAAAAAGAGTGTGGTCTTGGAAAGCTAAAAGCAAAATGGCTGGGCGTGTGGTTCACATGGTAAAGTGCTTGCCTAGCAAGCGAGAGGTCCTGAGTTCAAACCCCAGTACTGCCAAAAATAAAAAAAAGTGTGATCTCTGCCCTCATGAAACTCACATGCAAGTCTCACGTGAAATCCAACAACATCAATCCATTTATAAAACCTTTTTTCAAAATATATGAAAAAGTTAAGAATCTATAGGCATCCAGTATAAAAAGCAAATCTACATGAAAAAAATATCAAGATGTCTTTGACATTTCACAGCAATAGTCACTGCCAATAGACTATAGATGAATGTCTATATGATTCTAAGGAAAAAAAGTATACACACTGTAGTTGAAGTAGAAGACAAACCAGGCCTATGTTGTCAGATGTGAAATTAGGACAAAAAACTTGCTTCCATCTTATCTGAAAATTAGGTCCCTTGAATCACAACTATAAAAGCAAAGGCCCACATTTTGGCTCCAACTGTATCTCCTAATGGAGCTGGAAGACTCAAAGACTCCTAATCCACTGTCACCTGTTTAATGACCTGTAATGAAGGATGACTTTTAAACAAAGCATTGGTTTACAGTTTTATCTGTCAGAGCAACAGACAATCATAGTAATAGTGTTAAGGTAGTGGAATTATGTATAATTTTTTCTATGAAGTCATAAGATACCAAATTTATAACATTTTAGAATATATCATCACAGTTAATATATATTAATTCATAAAAAGGTAGATTCTAAATGCTTATTCTAGTATCTTAATTAAAAAGCCACAAACTTGGCCAGGCATGGTGGCTGGAGCCTGTAATCCTAGTGACTACGGAAGCAGAGACTGGGAGGATTGATTAAAGCTTGTGAGGCCCCATATCTGCCACAGCGGTGCTCCTGTTATCCCAGCTTCGTGCGGAAGCACACTTAAGAGGATCACAGCCCAGGCATAAAATGAAATCCTATCTCAAAAATAACCAACGCAAAAAGGGCTGGGGCACAGCTCAAGTGGTAGAGGACCTGTCTAGCAACCATGAGGCTCTGAGTTCAATCCTCAGTACCACAAAAAAAAAAAAAAAAAGAAAAAGCCACAACTATGATGAAGCTTTTAACCCTCCTTTTTCATGGAACATTCTTGATCCCACTAGTTAGAAAATACTCCTCCCACAGCATGTGGTTCACACCATTTGGTACTGACTTCATTCTGCTTTGCTGTATATGCGTCTCTATAGCAGGCTACAATCTCTTTATTGAGACCTCTCTTTGTAGCTCCAAACACATGTTTCCAATAGTGTTCCCAAGTCTCCCCTCAAATGCCCTGTTATGTGCAGAAGTGAACCCATTGCTTCCCTAAACTTAGTCTTTTTCCTATTCCTATGTATTTCAATGGACACCATCAAGAAAAATGAAAAGAAAACCCAGAGAATGAGAAAAATTTCTGCAAAAAGTTATTTGATAAGGGACTTAAGTCTAGAATATACAAAGAATTCTTATAAACTCAACATTAAAAGTTTTAACTTTCCCAATTTGAAAATGTACAGTATCTGAATAGACACTTCTTCAAAGGTAAACAAATGGCCTATGTGCACATAGATAATCTACAAGATTATCCCAGAGAGAAATGCAAATCAAAAGTACAATGAGATAGCACTTCACACCTATTAGGATGGCTCTGAACAAAAAGCTAGCGATGCTGGGAACATGGGAAATTGGGAGCCTCCTCCATGGCTAAGGGAAATGTAAAACAGGAGTGCTTTGGAAAACGGTCCAGCAGCCCATCGACTTAAGAGAGTCCTAGGCACATACCTGAGAAAAGGAAAATGTCCACACAAAACTTGTACACAGATATTCACAGCAAGTAATGTGTGTAATAACCAAAACAGTGGAAAAACCTCAATGCCTATCAGCTGATGAATGGATAACAAAATACCTACACAATGTGGTATTATTTGGCCATAAAAACAAATGAAGGCCTACGTCATGAATGAACTTAAAAAACAAACAAAATAAAACAAAAAAACATGAAGATGAAAAACTAATTACAACAAACCACATTATTGTCTGATTCAATGTATACTAAGTATCCCAAGTACGCAAATCTAGAGACAGAACGCTAGTTACTGGTAGCCAACAGCTGAGTGTTGGGAGGAAACGGAGTGACTGCTGATGGGTACTGGGTTTCTGTTAGGGTGATAAAAACATTCTAAATTTGTGTTGATGATTGTATATACTAAAAAAAACACTGACATATTTACTTAAAATGGGTGAATTGAATGACTTGTGGATTATGTCTCAACAAGGCTGCTACTAAAGATTTTTTCAATGACTTTCCATTGTCTACAGGATTAAAAGTAAATGTCAAACACATACCCCACCTGCCTACCACATGGCTCCTCCCCTGGGAATAATCTACCTAGTTCCTTGAAGTCTCAGCTCTCCTGGGGAGGGGGAGCTCTGCAGATGCTACTCCATCTATTTGTGAGTCCCTTCTCTCACTGTCCATCTAGTCAACTAGCACCACTCCTCCAGACCCACCTGGGGCTTTATTTTCTACGCAACCACCCCTCTGCCTCACAAGCTTCCTTCCCTGCACCACATGGCCTTTCAGAGAATCTGTGGTACCATGAATGGGTTTTTAATACAAACTATCAATTCTGTTAGAAATTCTCTTTCATATTCCAAACTAGAAAACTCTTTTCTCTACAACCAACTTTTAACTGTTGTATCTCCAATGACTGGCACAGTGACGTACAGAGTCAGTATTAAATAACTAAATATAACACAAAATAATTTTAGTAGTAGTGATGTATTTATTAATCCATAGGAACCAATTCCCTTTCTCATGTTGTTCCTGATAGCATAAATACGTTGACTCATGGGAACCAATTCTCTATCTCACATGGTCCAAGTCTGATAATCTAGCCAGTACCTGGAGTCTGGAGGAGTAAGGACTTTGCAGAGTCTAATGACAGAATACCTCTTTTGCTCACTGCTGAAGGAGGGAGGAAGCTTGCTGGCATGGACCTCATACGAGAATTCTGAGCAGCTTCTAGGAATGGTGCTTTCAGGTGATCTGCAATAAATTCCATCCACCCAAATAAGTAAGCTAAGACACTTCAACTTCAAATGACAACATACTGTCCTATTAAGCATAAACAAATACCTATTGTATATCTGTTATGAGTTTTACATATATATCCCTTGTGATAAATAATTAGCTTTTATTAATGCAATTATTAAGAACCTCGTTATTCATGCTAAGAAATGACTAAGAAATCTAAGAGAAAATTACTGTACATAACTAAGACAGCTGAATGAGCAAAGAATAGGAAAAGTGAGACAAATTCACATGAAATAGGGAGAAAGCCACCCACCTCTCTTCCAAATATTAACTGATAGCTATCAATTTGGAATTTACTGCAATAAACATATTCTGATATTACATGAAATATACTATACTAGTCACAAACAGCAAGAGGGTATGTATGCTAGAAATACAATTGGCCACAGGCCAACTCTATGTCTCTGAGCTCCAGTTTCTGTTTTTTTGGCTGTAGTAGGGTTTAAACTCAAGGCCTCTTCTTGCCTAGCACGCTAGCACTTCAGCTACTCCTCCAGCCCTTACTTCTTAATACAGAAAATGAAATGACTGGATTGGCTCATCTCTAAGGTAATTCCCACCTCTCACAGAAAATGAATAGAGGAACAGAATGCCTATGTAGAAACTACTACGTTTACAAGGAGTAGAATCTTGGTACCCTAATCAATATTAATATGAGCCTACAAATAGTTTTTCTCCATGACTTCAGAGAAGTTCACTCCAATTAACCTTCTGGACTGGGAAGAAACAAAAACCACCAAGCCTACAATTGAGGAAAAATAAATGCTAAAAGTGTCAGGTAATGGTCTTTGCTTTTTCTCTTCCTAAATATGAATAACTTGATTTTCCTTTCTGAAGGCTTCAAAAGTGGTTTGATGGAGTGAAAAATTATTGAAATGTTTTCATATGCAGATACTGAAAATGTCGTTAAAAATGCAAGATCGTCCATCTCACTTTTTGCTACTCTTGTTAGGTAATTAAAACAGTAGTTTCTACCTGGTTTAAGAATAACTTGAGGGGCTGGTGGAGTGGCTCAAGTGGTAGAGCACCTGCCTAGCAAGCATGAGGTCCTGAGATCAAACCCCAGTGCCACAAAAAAATAAGTAACGTGGAAAAAACCCCAGGATTTATAAAGAATGAACTCATACCAAGATAGTTTCCTGTTCTTCTAATCATGCCATAATTGACAAGCAGGGCAACCCTTCATTTCTTTTTCCTTTTGGTGCTGAGGACAGAATTAAGCCCTCATGTGTGCTAAGCATACTGAGCGACACCTCCAGCCCTTTTGTCAAAATTCTTAACCATGTACATTTCTTTCCTACCTCTTTCCATTCTCAAGAAGAAAACTCAAAATACTAGTATTATAAAAGTTTTGGATTTATAGAAAAGGAATTTTTATGAGTTTTTAAACAAAGATGTCTAAAATTTCATGAAGCCTTTGCATTCAAGTCAACAAAAATTTCAAAGATCCCTTCCAGCTCTCACGCTGAGGGACGGGCGTGCTGCAGCAGGCAGGAAGGAGACAGACAGACTTGAAAGCAACTGTGGCTCTGAGGCTACTAAGACAGGTTGAGCAGCATAATCCGAAATTCAAGATCTGCAACTTTTTGGTGCCAATGGAATATTCAAAAAATTTCAAATATGGGAGCTTTTGAGATTTCAAATTTTCAGATTAGGTATGCTTGGCTAGTAAAGTCCATATGAGTATTACAAAATCCGAAAATGTCTAAACAAAAACACTTCTTGTTCCAAGCATTTCAGATAAGGGAAACTCAATCTGTATTTTCTCCTTGCAGAAGCTAAATAATTTCTCTGAATCTCAGTTTTCTCATCTATATAATGGAAATAAAGACAATGTCTATCTACTTGGCTGATTGTACAGATTAAAAGAAACTATGTTTGTAGAAATGCAATGAATGGAAGCTACCATTATTATGAAAACCAAGCACAAAAGCATTAAGCATAAAAGGTATTTCAAGAATTCAGAGGCCAGGTGTGGTTGCTCACACGTGTAATACCAGCTACTTGGGAAGCAGAGATTGGGAGGACAGCAGTTGGAGGCCAGCCCAGGCAAAAAGTTAGTGAGACCCAATCTCAACCAATAATCTGGGTATGGTGGCACTGGCCTGATCTCTCAGCTACACAGGAGGCTCTAGGTAGGCCAGTGTCAAAAACTGGAGACCAGGAGCAAAACTGGAGACCCTACCTGAAAAATAACTAAAGCAAAAAAGGGCTGGTGCATGGCTCAGGTGGCAGAGCACTTGCCTAGCAAGTGTGAAGCCCACCAAAAGAAGAATTCAGAGATCTTAGATTGCTGTCCAGGCTACCTTAAAAAATTCTATACATAAGCCAGGCATTGTGACTCAAGCCTGTAACCTTAGCTACTTGGGAGACAGAGAACAGGAGGATTATTCAAGACCAGCCCATGCAAAAACTTCCTGAGAACCCACCTCAACCAACAAAAGATGAGTGCAGTGGCACACACCTGCCATTCCAGCTACTCACACAAACAGGAGAACTGAGGTCCAGGGTGGCTGGGCATAAAGTGGGACCCTCCCTCAAAATAACCAAAGCAAAAGTGCTGGAAGCATGGCTCAAGGTAGAGTACCTGCCTAGTAAGCCCCAATACCACCAAAAAAAAAAAAAAATCATTATTCTGAAAATTATACCTCAATTATTGACAAAAACATACAAAACTACTTTTTTCAATTTAGACTTCGTTGAGACCCACTGCAGCATATCTGGCCAACTGGATGCATCCTGCACCTGGTGACCTAACCTCTGGCCTATTTTACATGAGACTTGCTTTCACACTGTAGGTTGCCATGGGAGTAAAATCCTATTTCTTACCAGGTATTTTCGGATAAATTTGTTCAACCATGTATTCTCTTAAATTCCTTGGCATTTCTCCATGAATGTCAACAAGTACTCGAGTTTCATGGGATGAAATCTGGTAGATGAGAACTAGACTTGGATTAGCTAAAACAAGTTCAGCATAATTGGCTTTAAACTGTGGTGCATTCTAAAAGTAAAATAAAATAAAATAAAATATATTATAATTTTCAATTTTCAAGTTGCTTTTATTTTTCTATAATTACACTCCTCCTAGTACCTGCATAAGGAAGCCCACAAAATGAGATGAAACTGAAACTTTATTGCAGATCAGGTTTTTCCTAAACTTGGAGAAAAGCCCATCTGCAACAACAGTCAATGGAGCGTGGAGTTCCTGTAACAGAGAGAAAGAACGCTCAGCAAATGGTGAGAAACACACAGGAAAGTGTGCAGTCTTAAAAAGTGAGGAATGTGTCACTGTGGAACATTACAGAGAGCAGTTAGACCATTACGTGGACCTGAGAGAACACATGAGCAGTGGTAGCATTCCTGAGGATCACCTCCCTTTGGGCCACCAGGATTACTCGCCACTCTGATGGACAAGAGGGAAAATAATGCCTACAAGGCAAGCATGGACCCTAGAAGACTGAATCTCACTACAAATTCCAAACTTCCAGAATTCCCTAACTTCATAAAGTGCTTCTTAATCGGTGGTTAGGGTAGAAGAATTTTTATACATATGGCTGGATGCATTTATACTGCTACACAATGAGCAGAGAAAACCTTTTTTTACTGGAGTACAAGTTCTAGGCGGGAACAAGCCGAGGGAGCTGCCCTTTGGCCCTTTTTCTCTCTCACTCTGTTATGTCAACATGAGTAGATACTAGAAACTATTTTATTGTACAATTTACTTTCTGAAGATTCTCCTACTTAAAAATTAAGAGATTAAACTTACCTGCATTTTACCACAATAAAATTTTGTAAATAAAAACTTTACGGCTGAATCATTAAAAAGTATTCTTCTATTTTGCCTTTCTGATTTACACTACAGTTTATTTTACCCAAATCATTTGTTTTATGTCGAATCCTTCCTCTTGCACCATTACCGTTCCTCTCTACTTCTCTGCTGATGTATACTTCTCATTTCGGTTTTTAATGGTTGATACATTGTCATCTTTTGTTTTGAGGTTTATTTGAAGAGTCTGTCTTAAGGTTTCTATCCTGAGGTGATGATTTGGAGCCCATCCTGTTTGCCAGGGCACCGTTTGGTGAATAATGAATTGGAGAGTCTACTTCTCAAGGGTAGAAGAAAAAGGAAAGCATCTCTTAGCAGGAGACGACATCTGGCGAATCTCACCTTGACATCACCAGTCTCTTTGTCCTTGTACTTAACTCCTGTCACAGAATCGCCGTCCTCTATCAACTGTAGCACAACACCTTCAATAAAATTCGCACTACAGGTAAACAGAAATAAATTTCTAAGCCAGGCACTAAAAGGCTGAGCTAAGGAGGACTGCAGTTCCAGGCCAGTCTGGGCAAAGTTTGTGACCCCCATCTCAACAGAAAAAAGCTGCACATAGTGGTGTGTGCTTGTCCCATGGTGGAAAACCTGAAATCAGAGAACCCTGGTCCAGGCAGGCCTGAGCAACGTGAGATCCTATCTACAAAATAAGCAAAGCAAAAAGGGCTGGAAACATGGTTCAAAACCAAGGACCTCCAAAAAGAAAGAGAAAAAAAAAAGAAAGAAATTTCTATAAGTAGCACACTTGAACAATTTAAACTAGATATGTAAAATTCCCTATTCCATAACTCCAGCTGGACACATGTGTGTACACACAGATGCACGGAAAAGGCCTGGAAGGACAAAAGGCCAAACATCATTAGCAAGTTTTAGAATTATGCATAGCTTCATTTTGTAATTTACCAACTGAATACATATAACTAGTATAATGACTTAAAAAGTATTTATAAAAGTAATGTTAGTTTTTTTATCTTAATTCATTAAAAAAATAAATGCATACAGTGAAACTCAAACACAGAACATGGAAAAGGAAAAGAATTGCAGTTTATCCACCAGATTACTGAGAACAGTTACGCCCAGTCAGGAAGATCATAGATCATTTGGTAATTTTGATATTCTGGGCCATTTTTCCATTTTTGTACAGTAAGCATACCCTACTTCCATGGATACCAAGTCCTTTAGTCCTAAGGAAAAGCCCACTCACTTCATTTGCTCAGTCAACACTTCACTTAAGTCTATGTCAATCATATGAGTGTTCTCATGCTTAAAACTTCCTTAATTACAATGCTTAAAGGCTATAGGCAAACAGAAGTTAGTTAGCTTCTCTCGAAGCAGCCGGTCCTGTCAGGCTAGGTCCTCAATGAAATGGAACAGGAATTTCTCCTCGCAGTCCTCTATTTTGACTCTGTATAAGTGGTATCATAGCCACACACACAAACTCCCAAATGGGCACAAATGGAGTTATGCCTTTGTTATGACAAGTAAATCTTCTAAAGTCCAATAGAATAAATATCACATAATTTTCATTTAGTCCAAGGGAAATTCTCTATGGTTCTATATTATTCAACGGAAAAAATCTCTATGATATTCTTAACAAAGGCATTCAATATAAATACTTCTAACTTCTCTTTTATTTCAGTATGCCTGTTCTACACTATGCCCAAACTATTTATGAAAATTTATAAAATCTCATTTGTGCAAGGGCAAATTTAATTTTTTAACATTATATATTTACACTGTGGTCTTACTTGGGCTCTGCCATAGCTGCCTTCCGGAGACTGACAATGAACTTGCCGTGGTGGAAAGCTCTTCCGCTCTGCACCTGATTGTCTTCTGACCGAGGGTAAGGAATCTCAACCTCTGACTTGCTTTCCTGGTCATGAATTATGTAGCCATTTACAAGCTGGGACTCAAAACCTTCTGTTGTATCTGCAAAACAATTCAGTTCAAAAACAGTGTTATTAATATACTCAGTTATGTTAGGTACCAGGAAACACAAATGAGTCTCTGCTTCGGAAAGCTATAAGACCATCTGCAGAATGGAAGGATTAATATAACTGTTTTAGAAGTCATATTGTTTTCAGGAGACAATAGAAGTCTTAGTAAACCTACAGTGCCATTTAAAGACAATGGCACTGTTCTGTCCATAAAGATGGAAACACATTCAGTCCCTCTTAACACTTTATTCGATGTATTGATAAGGATATTTGTCAGAGCGAAAAAGAAATAAAAATATAATAAAATGCCAAATTCATCAGCTAAATGTAAAAATGACCTAACGTTAAATTAGTTAAGGGAAATCAACAAAGAATAAAATTTCAGTAGAAAGCATAACATTTTTAAAGTGTCAATTAAAAACTGAAATTTAAAATTAAATATCAATTCAAAAATTAATTTAAGACTTTGAGAAAAATATATCAAATGAAACAAAACATTTCTACACATAAAATTTTCTCATTAAAAACCATGGGGAAGGGCTGGGGCTGTAGTTCAGTGGCAGATTGCTTGCCTAGCAGGCATAGGGCCCTTGCTTTGATCCCCAGGACAGCAAAGTAAAACCATGAAGAAGATAGCGCCAGGCATGGTGGCACATGCTTATGATCCCAGCACTGGCGAGGCTCAGAAAGGAGAACTATGAGTTCAAGGCCAGCTTGAGCAATATAGCAAGACTACCTATCTTTATTAATACATCATCTATGACATATAATATACATATATATCATGAAAACCATAGGAAAAACATTAAGATACCAATTAATAGGCAAAAAGCATCACAAGTGTCTCATTGATTCACAGAAACTAATATACTAAGAGAGAACGAATCAGGGAAAGTGTTTAAGAGTTGGTTTGGAAGCTGAAGCAAGACATGCAATCTATCAAAGTTGCTGATGAGCTTCTGTTAAAACCGACAGATTCAGGCATTACTGGTGACGCATAAAAAGGGCACTTTAAAATCTTCACCTTGAAAATTCAGCTAAGACATTCACCCTAAATATATATTTCATTTCCAAAAAATCTTTTAAATTACATGCAAAAATAGGTAAGCTACAGTGTTATCTATATAAAGAATAACTGAAAATAACCTAAACCTCAGTTAAAAAGTACGCTAGGAAGGACTGATGGAGAAAGCACTATGACGAACTGCTTCAATGATAAACAATAGTTCAGAGTATTAAAAAGAGGACATGATTGTGTATATTAAAAGTGACATGAAATACATTTAAATATGCTATGTGCTGAATGTCCGTGTGCCCCGAAATTTGTATGTGGAAACCCTAACCTTCTAGTGTGATGGTATTTGGAGCTGGGGCCTTTACCAGGTAATTAGGTCTCTTACGAGTCTACTTTATGCTGTTATAACAGGTAACATATGAAGAACAGAAATTTATTCCTTATCGTTCTAGAGGCTGGGAAGTCCAAGATGAAGGAGAATGCATCTGGCAAAGGCCTCAAGCTACATCACCACATGGTAAAGATGCAAGAGGTGGTGAACTCCCAAACCCAAGCCCTTTATTACGGGCATTAATGCACTGATGAGGTAGATCTCTGTGACCTAAGCACCTGCCAACATGCCCCACCTCACAACCCTGTTGTGCTGAGGACTAAGTGTGCAATACAGAAAATCTGGGGCACGCAAGATTATCAGAAAATACATAAGAGGACTTGCTTCCTTTGTCTCCCTTTTTCTCTTTCTCTCTCTTTTTCTATCTCCCTCTCTCCCTCTGGCCTACCACTACCACCACATAAGGATACAGCAAGAAAATGTCTATCTGAAAAGAAGAAGGGGGCCTTCACCAAGAACCCCACATGCTGGGGCCATGATCTGGGGGAGCCTCCCAGCCTCCAGAACTGTGAGGAATAAATGTGTGTTGTTCAAACCACCCAGTTTATGGATGTACGGCAGCCTGAACAAAGACAACATACGTTAAAGTATATTAAGATGAATACACTCCTGATAAAATATTAATTTATTAATGAAATCTTTATGGTACACAATTTCACAAATATGTTGTAAGATCAAAACAAATTAGCTTTCTGACATCCTTTTTAATTATACTTAACATCAGTCAGCAACAAGCTGGATGAATTGTTGTACTTTTGCCCTAAGATCAAAATAAATTCATTTTTAAATATGGAAATATGGTTTCTTACTTATTACAACTAAAATCCAGTCAGGGACAAGTAGACAGTTACCTTAAAAGCTACCAATTAGTGTATTCAACTTGGGTCTCAGCAAATTGCCAATCCTTACCAACCTAAATGTTTGGAGCCTATTGACTATACACACACAAACACACACACACACACTTTTTTTTTTCTGAGTAGCACTGGGGTTTGAACTCAGGACCTCATGCTTGCAAGGCAGGTGCTCTTACCGCTTGAGCCACTCCACCAACCATTTTTCTGTGAAGGGTTTTTTAAGATAAGGAACTATTTACCCAGGGCTGGCTTCAAACCATGATCCTCCCGGTCTCTGCATCCTGAATAGCTGGGATTACAGGCATGTACACGAGCACCCGGCTCTATGTTTTGTCCACTGTACCATAATAGTACTTTAAATGTTAAAACTGGCCAATTTAGACAAAACCATGTAGTAGTAGTTACAAAAATTTTCCTTAAACTATCTTATCTGAGATTTCTTGAAATATCTGCCCCTACATCAACCTTACGGACACTTTCATTTTAATAGGAAGAAGACAGTGGTTTCTACCTCACTGATTCTAGGTTCAAGAAGATCTTGAACAACTTGAAGCCAGTGCCGGAACTTAGAGCAGTCACTTACCACTCATCATAAAGCTCTGCCTTGTGATGTTAAGACTGCCTGTCAGTACACGGGCAAACAACACACAGCGATCATCCACACTGAAAAATGTGGAGTTGCCAGGCACCTGTGGCTCATGCCTGTAATCCCAGCTACTCAGGAGGCAGAAATCAGGAGGATCTCGGCTAGAAGCCAGCCCTAGCAAATACCCTTCACAAAAGAGGGCTGGTGGAGTAGCTCAAGGATAGGCCCTAAGTTCAAGTCCCAGTACTGCCAAAAAAAAAAAAGTGGAATTTTTTTTGTGCAAAAACAGGCTAAAAAGTTAAAATCAGACTCAGATGCTAAAAATGAAGGAAAATTTCAAAATCAAGTCAGTAAGCAGGTTTTAAAGGCTATACCATAATATCGGAAGGATAAGTCAAAAGGGCTGGAAGGTTTTTTTTGTTTGGTTTCTTTTTTTTTTTTGGTGGGATTGACATTTGAATCCCACCAGATTCATGCTTAAAAATCAGACGCTCTACCACTTGAGCCATATTTCCCATCCATCCTGCTCTGGAATAACCAGAACTATTTTCCCAGACTGTCCTCGAACCACAATTCTCCCCATCTCAGCCTCCCAAGTGGCTAGAATTACAGGCATGAGCTACCAGCACCCAGCAGGGCTGGAGTTTTAAGGGCCACTTCTGTTACAACCCCACTGTAAGCCATCAACTCTCATTGATTCAGCAGTAACTTTCTAACAGGTTTTCCCTGTTTCTGGCCTTACCATTTTATGATCTTTTCCACCCAATGATAAGGATAATTTTAAATATTTTTAATCATACTTTTGAAATGTGAGATTCAGTAACTCCTTAAAAGTCTCCTATAGCTTCCCTTTGGAGAAAAAGCCAAACCTATACAGTGGGCAACCAAGTCCTATGGGATCCACCCCTTCATTAGTACATTCCCTTCACCACTCTGGTCAGACAGGCCTGGATGGCTCTTCTCCTAGGCAGAGCTTTCCTACTCCATATTCCCTCTGCCTGGAATTCTTATCCTCCAATTATCCCCAGGGCTCACTCCCTATTCTCAATTCTTCACTCACTGCCATCTTCTTACTATTTGAAGCTATATGCACCCTCCAACTCTCTACCCCCCTTTTCTGATTTTTCTCCAAAGTACTTATAACCTTCATACATACTTTATATACTCTAAATTTTACATACTTTTATTTATTTTATCACTTCCTCCCCACTACCTGCTAACGTGCATTCTCCATGAGAACAGGAATTTTTGTCTGTTTTATTCACTACTGTAGCCTCAGCATCTAGAACAGAACCTTCCATACTGCCAATGCTTAATAAAGATTTGTTGAATGAATGAAAATCACTCCATTAGTCACCTCCCTCTCTTGAATCATCTGTTTCACTGTCAACTTTAGCATCTCTATTACAGTAATATCCAAATACACTTCCTTTGCCCTCACATCCCTTGTTTTCTGTCATTAAAAAAGCTCAAGAATATTTCTTAAATGTTTAACTCATTTCAGTCTATTCTTGTCAATATCATAAATTACCAAGCTGGATGGTCATTTTCTTATATTCATCTTACCTGATCTTTCACCAGCAAACATGACTTGCTGTTCTTTCCTTTCTCGATACACACTTGTTCCTAACACAAACACTCTCCTTGTTGGATTGGCATCAAACAAATCTGGTTGCCTTCCACTCTCCTGCCATCTCCTGCTCAGTCTCTTTGCACACTTCTCTTCTTTTACACAATAATTAACTATCAGAGTTTTCTAGAACTTTATTCTGTCTCCTTTTCTTCCTCTACTTTCCTTAGATGCTCTTTGCCATGGCTTTTAACCATGACTGCTATGCTGACAGCTCTGAAATTTATAACTGGCCAGCCCAAACAAGTCTCTCTACTATAGATTCATATATTCCATTTGACACCTCCACTTGTCATCTCAATAGGTTTTCCCCCAAAATGCCCCCATACCTATTTCTTTTCAAGTCTTATCAACAAATGGTACCATCCACTAGTCGCTTAAGCCAAAACCTAGAAATCACTTTGACATTCCTCATATTTCACATCGGTCCCTTAGTAAGTCATGACATTTCTGTCTTAACCTTATCATGAATCTGCCTACTTTTCTTTATATCATCTGCTACCATGTCTGTTCAAACCACCAGCATCTGTCACTTGGATTTAGCAATGAGTCCCCCAGACTCCTAGCTTAACTCTTGCTACACCATCAGTCACAATGTTAGTCTCTTCTCCACACTGTATTCATGTATTTAAAAAAAAAAAAAATTTGGGAACGTGTAGAGTGCATGCTTAGCATGTGGAGTCTATCCCCAGCAACAAAAAAGAAAGGGAAAAAAATTTTCAGTCAGATTGAAATGTGTGGAATGGATATACGGAGTCACAAATATGTACGGATATACTGTAAAATGTGCGAGTAGCTGCCAAAGGTTTAAAGTCACTATTTTATAAACAAAAACGTGGGTTGGCAGAGTGGCTCAAGTGGTAGAGTGCCTGCTTAGCAAGCATGAGGCCCCAAGTTCAAACCCCAGTAACGCCAAAAAAAGAAGAAATAGATATAAAATGTAATGTCATGCTTTTGCTCCACAGCCTAAAAAGCCCTGTGTAATGTGCTCCTGCCTGCCTCTCCAACCTTAATCTCGTGCCACTCTCCTTTCCCCATCACACACTTTCTAGCACTATTGGTTTCCTTTTCACTTCCTTAAACAAAATAGCAAATACATCCATCATGCCTATAAACCAGGCCCGGTTCTGAATGCTTTATATGTGTGAAATCACTTAATCCTCATAATAACACATGAAACAGAGACTCTTCCAATGTCACCTTACAAATAAGAGAACTAACATGCAAAGGTTAAGGGACTCAGGTTGAAGTTGGTTATCAGGCAAGGCCATACAGCTCTGAAGAGCCAGAGCTGGTCTTCAAACCCAGGCAATCTAGTTCTAGAACCAATGCTTCTAATTAATACACCATCATCCACACCGCACATACCAAGTAAGCTGCTTCTCCCTTTCCAGCCTGAGTGTATTTTGTACTCTGCTCCTCAGAGATAGACAGCTCATCTGTCTTCCTCACCAATACAGCAATTCACGCCAAGAAGGCTGTAAATATTTATTTACTTAAAAAGCACTGGCTAAATGGATGAATGCTTCATCAGTAAAAGATTCTAGGTAATAATACTAACACAAGTACATAATATACACTCCACAAGTGACAGCTCCCTTCACATGTCACTGAATTTCATGTCCTCATTGTAGGAGTTTTCTCATCCTTAATCTTGACCATTACATTTTTTAGACATCTTATTTTATCTCATTAAGTCTACTTCGTATCTCCTTATATAACAAAAATGTTTATTTTCTCCACTGCTCTCATTTTCATAGAAATTTGTATAGAAAGTTTTACAAATGAAAATAAAATAGGAAGAAAAAAATAAAAGTCACAGAATAGTCTGAAGAGTGCATGATTACATATACCACTAACGCTCCTGAAAATCAGTATGAACCTACCTCCAAGCCCAAGGGCTTTCAGGACATGATAACCACCGGGCTGCAGAAGTTCTCCAAGTATTCTGTCAGGCTCTTTTAAATCTCTCTCAATTACTGTCACCTTTCTTCCATCTCTGCAAAGCACTGCTGCCAAAGCAGAGCCAAGTACACCAGATCCCACAATGATAACTTCTGGATCATTTACAGAAGATGTTGCTAGAGAGGTAGTGGCTCCTACTAAAGCTGTTTCTGAAATATTGATTCCTTTTCTGGGCTGTTTAACAAAAAAAAAAAAAAGGAATTACATTTTCAAATGCAGTAGCCTGAAATCATACTACCTTCTAGATGCATGCACTGGCCAAAAGCTAGACCTCAAACATTATTTATTAAATCAAATGAACTGCTATATGTTTAAATTCAGATCATATATGAAAGTCAATACCAAAATATTGGCAAAATAAAAATGTGTATCATTCCAATGAAATTAATCGTATATCCCTTTTTCTAAACATGGTACTTTGAGAATGCTGTTATACAGACATATTTAGAAATCCACATCAGACCAAAAGTAACTATATAGACCTTTCTTACGGGATTCAAAGACATCTTACAGGGCAAATTCTGTCATTAATTACTCAATTCTTCAAATACAAACTGAGTATGTACCAGATGCAAATCTCTTACAACTTCTGATTTAACTTCACGTTCCACACGTTCAGCACCTTTTAGATACTTTTAAAGATATTCATCTTTTCTTTCTCCTTGAGATTTTTGGGGTTTTTTTTTTTTTTTTCATCTTTGAGACAGAGTCTCAAAGATTGACCTCCAAATCAATATCCTCCTACCTTAGCCACCAGAGTGGTGGTATTACCTATCAGTGCTGGTATTACAGACATGTACCATTATGACTGGTTCTACTTTTGGATTTTTCATTTGAAAAAAAATCTATCAATCTAAATCAGTTTGATATAACAAAAAGATTCAAATCCTGGCTACAGATCTATTAATTGAGGATTACTTAAATCAAGAAAATTACAGGCAGGGCAGTGGCTCGCACCTGTAATCCTAGCTGTTTGGGAGGCTGAGATCAGGTGGGTCTCAGAAAATAGTTTGAGACCCCATTTCCAAAATAACCAGAGCAAAATGGACTAGCTCAACCAATAGCATGAAGCCCTGAGTTCAAACCTCAGTATCCCCCCCCCAAAAAAACCAAAATTATAAAAGAACAAAGTAATTCATATTGCCCCCTGGGATTTGACATATTTACAATTTCAGTTCTTAACATATGAACACATAAATTTAATTTGTCCCTTCCTTTTTTTCCACCCCGACACTCTTAAGAACCTAGTCTAACAGTTGGTCCTCCAACTTAGGAACAAGAACTAGCATTAAACCTAACACGGTTGGACTAACAGCAAAAGCTTTTACTTTGATGGTAAAAGATGAAAAGTCCTATTTTGAGAGATTTATTTCTACTGAGAATTACAGTGCATGTTGCTTTTTGTTTTGTTTTTTGGCAGCAGTGGGGTTTTGAACTCAGGGCCTCACGCTTGCTAGGCAGGTGCTCTTACCGCTTGAGCCACTCTGCCAGCCCACGTTAAATTCTTTGCATGAATAGTTCAATCTTACAGTAAGTATTTGCTCTTGGTAGATGAATTCACGAATCTAAATACATATCAGCTACAGACCTGAAAGGAACCAGCTTCCTTGAGGTCTCTGACCTTAAGATTAAGGAAAGACTAAATGTCGTTTGAAGAGGTTTGAATAAAACTTGGAAAAGGGAAGGTTGTTAAGTCTAAAAGCCTTTAGAACTTAGTGCTCCAGGATTCTAATATCTGCACAGCATTCTTTTACCTCTGTAATAGATTGGGACCCTCTCCATTTCATGTTTTATGTAATACTTCTCTGTCCTCTTCTGTCCATGGAGAGATGACAATAAGTCTATTCTTCCCATCATTATTTCTTAAAGGCCAGAAGAACTAATTATATTGAAGTTATGTTCTGGGTGCAAGACAAGCCCCTTTTGTCATCTTAGCCATTTTGTATTTGTTTTCCTAATAGATACACACACACACACACACACACACACACACACACACACACACGATCCTGGAAGGAGCACTCTAGAGGAAATTAAGTCTTTCAGAGTATGATCAATAGAGGAACTACAAAGGGGAACTTAGTTGTTACGTTCTCCTAACAACTAACTAAGAGTAAGGAGAGTAAAGCATCCACAAAATGGAACCAGTATTGACCTCTGACAACCCAATTCCAACTCCAAAATTTCTCTACACAGCATGGTGACAGTGACAGCATTCCAGCCACCTGTCCTAGTGCTGTGGCCCCAAGAAAGTTATCTCACCAAAACCACCAGAGTTCTCTGAGAATGAAGGGTGCCCTCCTCTCCCCCCTTGTCATCACCCTAACCCACACTCACCACACCACTGACTTAGTACTGCTCAAAAGGCTCCCTACAAACGTATAGGGCCTTTAAGCTCATCGTGATAGCTAGTATGTACCGCACAGCTATGCAGCAGGCATTTTGCAAATATTAAGCCATTTAATTCTCTAACTACCAGCGAGATAAAAGAAAAGGTAACTTTAACAGAAAGTGTAACTGATTCTTACAGAAAGAAAGCAATATGTCAAAAGTCTCACAGCCAAAAGGGACAGAGCAAAAATTCTAAACCAAGTCCCTGCTTACAGAAGAGAGATTGCTGACACAGCTCTAGAACTCTACACTATGCTCTAGGTCCATCATCTAACCGCAAGCCACCATCATCCATGCCTCCTGGGTCTCCTGCTATAGTCTCCTGCCTGATATCCCTGCCTTCACAAGAATGGCCTACAGTCCACTCTCCACACAGTAACTGGAAGGTTCTTATTGAAAAGTGAAATTCTAGCGCTGCTACTTTCCACACTTAAAATCACCAGTGTTCTCGGGAAAAAGTCCAAACACCCACAGCCAACAGGCCTTACATGTGTGGCTTCCATGACGTCCTCCCTGCTCCCCGGTCTCTTCACATGTATTTAAAGCCCTGCCTCTGACTTGGGAGGTCACTACACTGTGGCCATCACTCACCTCTTCTCTTGATTTGGGACATGACTGACTGCATTGATCTACTCTGCTCCAGTGATGGGGGGAAGAGGGCTTTTTGCCCAAGGCTTTAAAATGCTGGGCATCTGTACAGTGTTCCAAACTCTTCTGTCACTTTCCCCAGCCAGCTATGACTTCATAAGCAGTGCACTTACCTGAAGAAAGCAGGGTTCTTTCTTCCCAGGTACAAAGACAATCCTTACTCAGGATTTAAACAAGACAAATTTTTTTTCCAGCAGCAAAAGTGATTCTGTCCTCCTCCACAATGAAAGTCTAACATTTCACCTCACCTTTCCAAATCGAATCGATATCCAACCCCAGTTTGAGCGTCAATCATTACATAAAAAACAAATGATTTCACTTTCCTAATATGAAGGAGCAGCCATGGCACCGCTCACAGCTTTCGAAACTCGACTACGAGAGAATTGGTCCTGGGGTGTCTAAGCTGCCACCTTCCACCCTTTAAGGAAAGGGACACCTCAATGACCCGATCCCAACTGTAAAACAGGACATTCGTCTGCCCACGAGGCAATCAGCCTACCCTGCTGGACTCCGGCTGCTCCTTCTTTTCTGAGCCGGGGGGCGACTTGGCCCAGAAGACGCCGACGAGAGGCAGCGCCGAGAGGAAGCCGGAGACGACCCCGCACCGCAGGCCGCTCCGCTGGCGCCCGGGGAGGCCCCCGTTGCGGTGGCGACAGCGGTAGGACAGCACCAGGCCCAGCGACAGGAACACCAGCACGCACAGCAGGAGCTCCTTGTTGGCCAACATGACGAAATCCCCGCATTTCTTATAAAAATAGGTGAAAGTGGCGATGCCCAGAAAAGTCCACATGGCTAGGATGAGATGTTCTTTTCTTTGCCCCAGCAGGGCCCTGGCGATTAAGTCCCTCCCCAGAACGCTACCACCACAAGGCCCGGGAGCGCCGGCCCGGGACCCCGTCAGGCTGGGTCGCACGGGGCTCAGGAGGCGGCCGGCGCCGGCGCCGCGCCCCGCCCTTCGGGCAAGGCACGCATCGCTGTCCGCTGGAGGGCCGGGCGTCCTGGGGCGGCTCCCGCGGCGGCCGGGCCAGCAGCAGGTGTCCCTCCGCCTAGAGGACCGGAGCCAAGGCGCAGAGCGGCGGCCTGGCCTCTGGCGACAAAGCTCGCCGCCGCGGCCGGAGGGCACGAGGGCAGCTGGACGGCGACACTGCCCAGCCCTGCCTCCGGGGCAAACGCCTGGGCTGCCTGCTGCCACAAAAGATGGCCTCGGACTGCACGGCGCCGGAGCCTGCCAGTCCGCGGTTGGGGCTTCCTCGCCGGTGGACCGCTGTCCCCAGAGCCTCCCTCAGACGGCGGCGGCGGCTCCCGACGGCCTCCTCACCAGCATCCCTCCCGGGCAGCCACGGCTCCCCGCTTCCACTGTAACCAAAGAAACACCGCACGCACGGAGCTCGCTGCCGGCCCCCGCGCGCCTCGGGCGGGGCGGGATCCGGCCAAACGAAGGACCAGGGGGCGGGGCCTCAGGGGGCGTCCCCGCGCCGCGCTCGGGCTCCGCCCCCACGCCGCCGCCAGCCAATGAGAGTGCGCACCGCGCGGTAGGCCGAGATGGCGCTATGGAGCGTTTGGCCAATCGCACACGGCGCAGTCCGCGCGGCGACGCCCGGAAAGGCGCTAGGGCGATGTTGCGTGGTGTAGGGTGGAGGCATGGGGTGGGCGCCCGGCGCTGGTGGGCCGATGGGAAGGCGCCTGCTGGCTGCGCGCGGGGTGGGGCCGCAGCCAGTTCCCAGTAGCGGCCTGGTTCCCACCTGGGGAGAGGTGGAGCTCTTTCCAAGGAAAGCCTGCCTGTCGTGGAAATGGGTCCATCACACCCAAGGGATGAGCGCACGCTGCCTGTGTGGGCAGAGGCGGGAGGAAGAGCTGCGGGAGCGTGACAAACGTGACATTCGAGCTGAACCGGGGAGGACAGGACAGGTGCCAGGCAGTAGAGACGCTGCTGAGCGGAGCCCATGTGCTCTCAGGAAATAAGGGTGTGCCCGAGGTACACAGAGAGGGAACAAGCCCCGGTCCTCCTCTGGGGTCCCGAGGCTTGGGGGAAGATCAGCTGAGCTGTGTCCGGGACAAGCACTGCAGGGGGACAAGGAACGTGTGCAGGAGGCGCAGAGTGAGCGGGAGCCCTTAGATACACAAAGCTGGACCTTCCCCCAAGTCCACGGAGGCCTTCTCCGTGCCTTTGCCCACCGTGTTTAGCCCTGGGCTGCCTTCTTCATGATTTATGTGCAAGTCCTTTCTGCTCTTGGAAGCATGGCTGAATTGTCACCTCTTCCACCAAGTCCCCACTGACACTCATCAAGTCACAATTCCTAAATTCTTTCTCAACTGATTGTGCATTGTACGTTAGAGGATGCACATAAAGAAGTAACAGAAAAGAGAATGGAACTACTCAAAGAAGACATAATACCTTACTTTGTAAGTCTACTAACTTCCATAGCCCAGTATGACCAGTTTTAAAACCTAATGAGTCATACAGAAACGAATAGTATCTCCAAAACTCCTGATAAAGAAGTTACTCATAAAACAACACAACGTAATGGGAAGTACTGGGTAACAATAGATATGTCAGATACGGTTTTTTTTTTGCACTGCCTGTAGACAAAGAAAGCCAAGAATAGATGACCTTCATGGGGGAAGACAATATGAATTTGTAAGATACCCACAAAGTTACTTCAATAGTCCACGAGTAGCATATTCCACACTATCCTCCAAAATTAATCAGGAAATTTATATCTTTTATGACAAATTATTATGACATAATAATAATTAATGCTAGATAAAAACTAGCAGAAAAGAAGGAAACAATAGAAGAACTTAGAAATGAGGGGTGGACAATTAATGAAGAAAAAATAGCAGGACCAGACAGCACTTGAAAATTTGTAGGAGTTACATGGTCATCAGATGGCAGACAGATACCAAGGACAGTGACAGACAAAATTATGACAATAGGAACACCTACATCTAAACAAGAAGCAAAAAAGCTGATAGGACTACTTGGATACTACAGATAACACATACCCATTTAAACACATCATGTTAAAACCTACATAATATAAAATAAGAAACATACAGGACTTCACCTCAGGAACAGAACAAGAACAGGTGCTAAAATATTAAGACTATGTGCATATCTTCCAAACCTACATTATCCAACACCTACTGCCAAAAGATTAGAGATCATGATGGCACAAGATCATGGCACCTGTAGCTAGGGACCACAGAGCCTTCAGAACATAACTTTGCTCCAAGAGGATACTGGAAAGCTAAATTCCCATATGCACTAAATAAATACAGTTTTTGAAAAACATATTTGGTTACTTTATGACTGACAAGAGACCTAGCATACATCAGATGGATGGTACCTTTGCTCCACCGGATAAAGTTGAGTCCTGAAGAACTGACAGGTATCCAAACTGATCAAGAACTTGTTACCTGGACATGGTCCACACAGAACAGGTACTGGTTTCAGGGGCCAACCAGGGATCCTTACAGAGGAGATACACAGATGGAGGCAGACTTGCTGGAATTAATTCTGAGGTCAGAACATATCCATCAGGAAATGGGGAACTGTCCAAATAACCTTCATAATGCCTGATTTACAGATGGATTAGCTTCTGTGGCCCAAGGAAAAATGAAATGGACAGCATCAGCCGTGAGACCCTGGGACAACATGGCACTCATTGAACAAGATACTTCCATGTCTGCACAACATGCTGAACTCACAGCAGTGGTACTCGCAGTCACCATCCATAACTGAAAAGCAGAAAAAATGATACATCTCAGACTCATGGACAGTCACAAATGGCATAGGCCCATGGTCACATATCTTACACTGTGACTGTAAGATAAATGGCAAAGACTTATGGTTATGCCAATATTGGAAAGAATTGTAAGAAGCCTCACAAAAACTTAGCATCAGGATCAGATACATATCAGCACATCAGAAGGATGATTCAAAAACAACTAAATGCAACAACCAGGTAGAGGCACTAGCATGAAGCGTAAGAGTACAGGACAAATCACCCAAATTAAAAGTAATCAGGGACACAGATAACAACTACAGACATACACTTCCACCTACTCAGAAAGGGAGAAGATGATGCATGGAAAGTTCCCAAGGTGCCAGCCATTAAAATAAAAAGGGAAGGAGAGAAATGGACAAGAAAGAAAGACCCACATGCTAAAATTATACCAGGAGATTTTAACTATGCATGTTGTTCAAGGGACATATGCGCCCCCATGGACTAAAATGGATAACAGGTAGGAACTAAAAAGTAACATGAACTTTGAAGGGCAACACAGGGGTGTGAAGAAAGCAATACCTCATTGACAAAACTTAGATTCAGAATACCATAGACACATACAAGCCAGATACATTTGATTTTATTATGCAGATAGACTTCGAGGGCCAATGCAACACCAATACCCACAAGTATATGTGGTAACAGTGGTAGACATGTATACAGGATTACGTTAAGCTTTAGCAGCAAATTGTCAGCAGCTTTACAACCAGGGCAGTAATGCTATGGAACACAGTGTGTGGTCCCCACAGGTTAAGAGAAAGTGATCAGAGAACCCATTTGACAGCATGGGCAGTACAATGCCTATTCAATGAGTCCCCACTCATGGAATTCTCATTTACCCTATCACCTTACAACAGCAGGATATATAGAAAGGTTTAATGGTCTATTGAAAAGGGAATTACAATTATTAGCAGAATTCCCAACTTTCCAACTGAATCTACTTCAGACATGTTTCAGTCTAAATCAGAGAGAACAAAGGATTAAGGGAAGCCCACACTCCTATTTAAATACACCAACTGAAAATACAGACAGAAGTGAAACAGAAAACCCAACATGCTGCCTTCCAATGTACATGTGAAAAGTAAGGATAAAAACAGCTTGCCATAGGAAATCTTGACATCAGGAGATGGAAATACCTACTGGACAACAGAACACAGAGGACTTTACAGCTCCATAAAAAAATCTCAGCCTAAATAACTAAGGGCACAAATGAGCTAATCATATTAGTCATGCTGACATTCACAATCATCCTGACTACTACAGCAGCAATAGTAGTGTCAAAACCTACACAGAAACTACTAGAAAAGCTAACACCTGCAATCTTTCCTACAATTTTAATACCCATTTGTGTCCAAGCTGAGTTAAAATGCAATTGAAATGTCAGCTGTGCAGCCTCCTATGCACACCCATAACCATCATTGTTCACATTTAATCACCTATGCCACCATAACAATACGTCCTACTAGCTACTTTGTCCGCAGAGACAATGTTATTGCTCATCCCTGTAATAACACCTGCACCTATTAGTGGCACAATCATTAACTCCACAGATACATACACACCCAGATACACATCACTGTAGGAAACTCTCTAACTGGACTGTTTACATAATGGAAACATTTATTGAGATGTAATTTCTTACCAGACAATGGGCAGATTATAGTAAACTTTAAAAAAATCAATTGGGCCAGGTACTGGTGGCTCACGCCTGTAATCCTAGCTACGCAGGAGGCAAAGATCAGGAGGATTATGGTTCAAAGCCAGCAAACAGTTCACAAGAGCCCATCTTGAAAATACTCAACACAAAAAAGGAGTGGTTCAAGTGGCAGAGCGCCTGCCTTGCAAGCACGAGGTCCTGAGTTCAAACCCAGTACTGCCACCACACACACACACACACACACACACACACACACACAAATCTGAGACTGTATGAGGTTGTCCTGGGAAGACAAAGAATGACAGTGGTCCAAGGAAAAGTCCTGGTCAGAAACTCTTAAGGGACAGACAGGATGAAACTCTTGGAAAAAAAGCAAGAAGTACAGATATCAGAGAAGGAGAAGCAGGATAAAGTTGCAGAAAACCCCAGTTTCAAGAAGGGATCCAGGAGCTAAGGATTTTAAGATGGCTCCAGTACTGCTAAAAAAAAAATCAGTTGGACTATACATGCCATGTAGAGTATTACATGTACATGTATTAATATCATATATTCTACATTACATATAATACCATATATTATGTACATATGTAACGTATAGAACACTGTAATATAATATGTAATGTGTGGTATATGTTATACATATGATACCATATTATATTATTGCATACAACACCATGTATATGCCAACCATTATATAATACACAGTATGACATATGTCTTATGACATATTGTATAACATGCTATGTATTCTATATTGTTGACATCTCAATAGCATATTACACATTATAATATATATATATAAAGATACTATATGAACAAGAAAATGGTGCATAACTGGTCATCATCAGCTTATTATAAACTTCAGGATATTACCCCAACCATAGACTACCCCGTAAGTACAGCAACTTTCCCAACATATGTTAGGAATTCAGGAAACTTTGTATGAATAACGTGTCATAAA